GCCGCTGGCCCGGATTCCCTCCCACCTGCACTATTTAAGGATGGAGGTGAGGTCCTCTGCAAAGCACTGACCTCCCTATTCGAACGTATCTGGAACGAAGAGAGTGTGCCGGCTAATTGGAGCGAATCGATTGTAGTGGCAATATACAAGAAGGGCAGTCGCACAGACTGTGCGAACCACAGGGGTATTAGCCTAACGCCAGTTGTGACAAAATTACTGGCCTCAATTATCGTTCGTCGCCTCACTGCGGAACGGGAATCTCGGATTAGAGAAGAGCAGGCCGGTTTTCGCCCAGGACGTGGCTGTATAGACCATATATTTACTTTGCGGCAGGTGCTAGAGCAGCGCCACGCATACCGCAGACCGACAATAGCTGTGTTCCTCGATTTCAAGAGTGCGTTCGATTCAGTCGATCGATCGATTCTGTTCGAAATACTTGCGCGGAAAGCTGTTCCCACGAAATATGTGAACATCCTTCGTGCTCTATACTCGAACACTACAGGCCGCGTCAGGGTCTATGGTGCCCTATCGGATAGCTTTTCGACTACAAGTGGCGTTCGACAGGGTTGCCCGATTTCCCCGTTTTTGTTCAATTTCGTCGTGGATTCTATCATGGAGTGTTCCCTTGCGGAATCTCACGATGTAGGTGTTGAAGTGCTGGCTGGTGAACGGTTAGTTGATCTAGATTATGCGGACGATATCGTCTTGCTTTTCGACAATGTTGGAGCAGCACAATCAACCCTGAATAGCCTATCCAGAGTGGTCCCATTATTTGGTATGCACTTCGCACCTTCAAAGTGCAAAGTGTTGCTGCAGGACCACCAGCCACTCGATGACCCCTTGACGCTTGCTAACGAGGTACTCGAGGTGGTTGATCAATTCACTTATCTTGGCAGCTGCATCAGCAATGATGGGCGCATAGAAACTGACGTGAGCTCACGCATTGCAAAGGCTAGAGCTGCCTTCTTGAACCTGCGTCACCTTTGGCGACAGAAGGGAGTTTCCCTCCGTCTCAAAGGCCGTGGATACAAGGCCACAGTGAGGACCGTTCTGCTCTATAGTAGTGAAACTTGGCCCCTTCGGTCTGAAGATCTGAGGCGCCTTCAAGTCTTTGATCATCGTTGTTTGCGAGGCATTGCTGGTGTCGGATGGCACCAGCGTGTCCGCAACGATGATGTGCGTAGGCGAGTACTAGGTGGTGATGATCATGCTAGCTCCCTAGAACAACAGATAGCACTGAATAAGTTGCGTTGGCTCGGGCACGTGCTACGCACGCCTGGTCACCGCTTACCTAGGAGGGCCTTGTTTAGTCTACCAGGTGTCGGATGGCGCCAGGCTCGAGGTGGACAGAAGTTGACTTGGCAGCGGGAAATGAAGTCACTGACGACCAAACTGGGTGTGGTTGGTCCGTCTCACCTTCCGGGTTGGAGTCCACGTGACTCACCTTGTGCTTGGCTCGAGACTTTACAGTATATGGCTCGCAACCGACACCAGTGGCGCGTCTGCTGCCGTCTCCTAATCGGATTGTCTGTTTAAAGTGTGTTTGGTGCTGAGTTATCTGCGGGGTAATGGCTGATTATGACGCGTGGCAGTGAAAGCCGCAAGGAAGCTGTCTCGCCGATGCCGCCTTATCTTTGCACGATAGCCAGCTGTTTGTGACGGAATGTTGTCTACACAAGGTGTAGGCGCCTTGCCGCTGAATGTTTGCTTAGGGCATTAAGGTTTTCAGGTAAGTCCCCTTCTTTCCCTCTTCTTATTCTTTATTTCATAGGTCCTCATGGTTGTATGGCAGCAAAGCATCAGATCAAATGGCTGATGTACTGCTGTTGTTGATTGATTGATTGATTGATCCACACTTCTTGCGTGTGCAGTGCAACCACGATGGGCTAAAATCAGGAGTGAATGCTTTCACACTAAGCGAACCAAACCTCAGTGGATACACGATTCACTGGTGTGAACATTGGAAAATTCCTGTTTCTGCTTAGGAGGAGTAACTTAGGCATTTGCCTACGCAATCTGCCAGTGCTAAGCGGATATAGGTACTATGTAGTGGAAGAAGTAAACTCGGATGTAGGCCACTGTCCTCTGCAATGGTAAAAACGTGTGTGGGAGTGAAGAATGGCTTGCGCTAAATCCCAGTTAGTTTACAAGTTTAGAAGGCCTGCTTCCGTGCATCATGGTTTGGTGACATATGCTGCTGGCGAGTTGGCGTAACCTACTAACGCCATGTGTTCAATCACCAGCAGGGGTCCGAGGGAATGTGCACGACTGATGCGACCCAATAGGTGGAAGAGCTGGTTTGGTGCTTTTCCGGATGATGGTTAAACCAATCTGGTTTGTGAGCAGCTGGCTTGAATACTGAGAATAGCGAGCAAGAAGAGAAATGTCTGTGTTGCTTCATCGTAGATGGACCGGGCACATGCGAGGAATCACGTCGCTGATTCCTGCGAGGTGGCAGCATATCGCGGCAGCACTGCATCTGATCCGCGTGCGGTACGCTCCCTATTCCTATAGTCCACAATGTGGGAGTCAACGAATCTTACATGCCGACACCGATTTTGACTCGACTAGCCTTTCCGGCAATTTGTTCCCATATTTCCCCACTCACCGCTCGAAGCATAGAAAGTGAACAATGCGCTTCAATTCCGGTACCACTAGTTTGTACCGGTGTCCGCTTGCGTCGCTTGGTGCAGGAATGTGCATCAACGGCTTCAACTTAGGGAAGTGACCCAGTTGCACGATCTGGTGCTTCATTATGAGATCAAGTGGAAGCCGACGATATGACACAGTAGTAAGCCCTAGTCCCCCTGCATGGATCCTCCTACGACATCCCCTGTAAATCGGGTAGGAGACTGATAGCCACATGATAGACCCGTTTCCGTCTCTGCACCTCATCCACGGTGATCGGACAGTAGGCAGTTAAGCCCTACTCAAGCACCGGTCTTATCATGGAAGAGAACATACGAGTGGTAATCTCGTCAGTTCAAGTGCAGTAGTTGCGTCGAAGTACCCAAAGTGAGCGTAGTGCGTTTGCGTACAGTTTGTTCGTGTTGTCGATAGACTTCAGATCACAGGGTGAGAGTTTGCTTAGCCTCTTTACGGAAGTGGTAGGTTGCAGCGGGTTGCCGGCCAGGGTGTACGCACCCCACCCCATGCTCCTAAATGAGGACTTGGCCGGGTTGACCGGTAGGCCAACTTATGCAGACCACCGGGATAGGTGGTCGAGGTCCTGTTGAAGGCGTCACAGTGGTCCGGAGAATCAGTATCTCTCCAAACCTTCAAGTGGTCTGAAAACAGTGTACTAGGCGACCGAAGAAGCTGAGGCAATTCGTTTACGTGGGACAAGAATAAAATGGGCCCCAGCACTGTGTCTTGTGGTTCACAACTAGTGGTGATTACCATTCCGTGAGGTGCTCATCCAACTGTCCCCGTCACCTTCTCCCAATAAGGAAGTCCGTGCTGCACTGCTGCGGAGCGCCGCCAACATCACACATCCGCGGCTTTGAAGCAGGAGCAGGATCAGTAATATACGTTTCACACCTAAGCAGGAAGGTGGTTGGGCCTTAGCTTGTCCCAAACACTGATTGTGATCGTTGATGTGTTCAACGAATGTGCATGTTTCTGTAAATAAAAGAATTCTGGTGGCTGCATCACTCCGTGAGTTCGTTGGTGCTAATTGCTAATAGCTGGCAATTTTTTGTTGTTGATTGTCACCGTGTTTATACACTGAGTGCACAAGGGGTTGTGACAGCTACCTGTTCACTTAACTCAGTGGGGACTATGTTTATGTCGTCTTTTTCACACAGGTAAAAGTATTGTTTAAGGTCATTGCACATACATATATGTCAACCCGTGAGACACAGAAATGGCTCAAGTTAACTGATAGCATTTTTAAGAAGCCTGAGCAAAATTGGGACCGTGGTTCATCCATGGCGAAGTGACGTTGGCTGCAGGGATCCAGAAGTCATGAGTGCGGAACCCGGCAGGAGCCGCTGGAAGGCGCACCACTGACGGAACCCAGACGGTTGAACTGCCGGTGTCTAGTTCCTTTTATGCGAACACTGGAGACCCTGTCATTCGATGTCTTCACCCGTAGCTCATTGCTCCCAGCCACGAATTGGCAACAGTCGAGTGGCGGGTACTATTCCCACTAGGTTTAGATGGAATGCGTACTGCTGATGATTTCCGGAATGAGGAAACGCGCGTACAGTGCTTTTATTGCCCGATCCACCTACGATGGAGCTATACAGATCTCTATTTGCTCGCTCTCTATTATCAGTATCTAGCATTCAGTATTCACCGTGTCCCAGTTCTTCGCGATTCCGATACGATATACACACGTATCCGCACACAAGCAGGCAGGCAGAGTGTGTTCGTGCTATTTCACTTGTCGCTGATTTGTCACCACTTTCACTTCTACTCTGACGAGAATAGAACCTAGTGCTGATTGTTATTCCAGAACTGATTGGCTCGGTAAATGACGGGACAATAGACCTAGCATCTTCGTTTTCCAAGCAATATGACTGCAGCTCAACCACTTGGACCGTGGTACTAATTATCTCGTGGTCTAGCTTTTCACCGATCAAGTGGAGTATGCGATAAAAGCCCCGAAAATATCTAACGTGTATCTACTGGAACTTGGCATTGCATTGGCTATCTGACTGACTAGGTCACTGAGACGGAGGTTCCCCTGAATGGAGCCAAATATTTCTTCCACTGCTTTGTTATAGTAAAGGAAATTGACTAACGCATGTGTTCTCGTACACTGTGCCCCACCCGCTTACCTCGGAATTCCTCTCCCGTGTGCCTATCGCTTCAGTCTGGATATCCCATCGCAAACCTAGCGTCAAACAAGAAAAAACTGCATAATTATTTGATGATGTATAGCAAACGATTCCATCACTTTGAAAAAGGAAGTAGAAAATACATCTGGAGGATTGCGGTGGCAAAACACAACCGTCCACCTGCAAAACATAAGCTCACAAATCGAGTCTAGTCAGTTAGTTCAAATAAGGTCTCCATATGTCTGACTTGTGCTCACTGTCGTTTGAAAGCCTTGGGGTAACGGAATTGGTGCCGTGTGCAATACACGCAGATATTCCGGAGTCAATTTCACTCTGGTCGACGACTCTGTGTGCAGATGTCAGTGGTGTGGAGGCAAGGTCGCCAGATGGGCGAAAAGGAAGAGGTATGTGATGTGAATAATCCTTCGGGATTGAGTCGTTATATATTGAATCCGCTGTAGGAATGTGGTTCTGATGAGCACCGAAGCATGACTCGACTGAAGTTGGATGCGATTCATATGCGGTGTTGCTGCTGAATCGGTGCAATATGGATCGGATTGGTGTGAAGGCACTGTATGGAGAGAGATTGAACTCCGCGATTTGATTGGCGTGATGGGTTTCTTTATCTTCCGAACCCAAATGTGGGGTGCGACATGGATTGTTCAGCTCAGTAACCGCATCAGCAACGCACATTTTATGTACGGCAAATGTTCGCCGCAGCTCGGATTGGAGTTCTGAAAGCGAAGAATTTGTTAACGCGGTGAGTTAAATCAGATCGCAAGGCAGCAATGTAGTGACAGGCTGATTTTCCCCATATTCCATGCGTTTACTCTGAAGAACAAATATTGTTGAATAAGTGAGGTTCGGATGAATGGAAGTTGCTGATTTACACTTATGTCATTTATCGCAGTAATGGTACCAGTGATGTTTAAAATCGGTCCAGTTTTCTCTCCGATCCATGCACAGTCGATTCACCAACGTATAATTTGGAGCACAGCACTACGACTCCAACCCAAACGTGTGCACACTGCTTACAACGGACTAACAAATTTAGCTGGCCGAATTAGAATATACAATGCAGTATCAATCAACACCAAATCACAGCCAATGCAAAACACTTATGGAACGGGCATTTCTCCGTTTACGGAATACCTTCATGAAAAGCCTGTACGGATCCAGCAGTTGCGACTGTGGTAGAGGGTGTGAGAATTGGAGGAAATGGTAACGAATCCTACCGTTGGTAACTTCTTACTAATTCTCGACCGTATAGATGAAGATTCCAAGCAGTCTATGTAAGCGTCGAATGATTTTTGTATTTTCACGGTGATTTTAGACCCGATAGGCATATTATGTATGGCGTGCATGTTCGTAGATTAGCACAGCAGATGCAGATAATTGGCAAGATTTATACTGTGTGGTTACACTGGTTACAGTACAGCCTCACAGATACACATTTGGTAGCATACACTATTGCAGACCATTCACAATAAAATTGAAGTTTGAAGTAAACCAACAGTTCACCTTGCAACAGTTTCCCTCCTAAAGCAATGCAAATGCTACTTGTGGCATGAATGTTGGAAATTCCGTGATTAATTTCACCTTTCGTGATAGACATGCACAAGATGCATCCGAGGCAGGCGATTGGATTAGCTGCCTAAGTTGTTGTTCTTAACTTACAAAGCTATGCGTCCGATTCTCCAGAGATTTACGTCCGCATCTCGTACTGTGACAACTGCGCTCAAAATGCTCGCATCTGACAACTGAGTTGCCGATGAGCCGAGTGCATGGCTTGTGACAAAATGTGTAGTGGTACACCGCGTTGCACTTATCATAGTTTGCATGTCTGCACAAAGTTGTCCGATTTAGCGAAACCCATTGGCGGTAGGTGTCGTCTTCCTTGCTTGTTAAATGCCAAATTCGTTAATCCAACCTGTTCCTCTCAGATGAGCACGGTGTTTTTATGGTATTACGTCACCCTTGTCCTGCTGGACCGTGAAGTCTACGTACCCTTATTATGAAGATCAGTCATTTGCTCCAACGAAGCACTTACAACGCACGATTTTTGATCGAATATCAGACATTCGCCGCATTCATCACCAACTACCCAATTACACTTGGGTCACGCAGCTGAATGGAGTAGATGGAAGACAGGTTGGTAATTTCACCCTAATCTGTTTAGTGGTATTAACCTCAAAGTGCCAGTTAGATTGTAGTTATTCACTCTGTTTGGTCTCATTGCTTGCTTCGAATGCAAAATGTCGACGCATCTCAGTCTATGCGGCTTAGGGATTTGATAACTTCATGAATGCATCCTACGGTACAATGTAAGCGTTTGCACGCATACAGTGAATAAACCCATTGTTTCATGGCTCTACTAAATTCTCAGAGCTCTGAGGAAAACGCTTTGTCAACTGATATGTTATACCCATAAGCCTAGAATATGTTACACATTTATTAGCTAATCAAATGTAACCTAGGGATATTTGTGCCATGAGCCATTATGACTAAATCAAATGTATTATTAATTTGGGGCAGCTTGTGAACAACCGTTCAGTGTTCAAGTTCAAGTTCCGTTGGGACAAGAACGATAGGATAATCCCGTAAATTTTCCTGCTTTTGCGTGTCATTGAATCCCTAATTGATAGGTCTAGATGCGATGTTAAAAGTCTGCAACGAACACTGCAACACATCATGTCCAACCAATTACTGCCCATATTTTCCGCCCAGCAGTCCCTGCGAAGCCGGTTTATGTGAAGAAAGAAGGAGTGAATGGTAATCTAATGAAACGAGAATAGGAATGTCAGCTAAATAGTGATATTACCAAGGTAAAGATATAGAAAAATACGAAGGGAACGTTGAAGATACCAGTCGGTTAGGAGAAGGGAATGTTTGGTACTGCCACACAAGAGCATCTAACTGACACCAGAATCCCTCAACCGCAGACTTCCTAACGACGTGTTCCGCAGGCGAGTTCCAACGTTCAATAACCAGGCGCGAAAATCGAGTTTCCGTCCTTACCCGGTCAGAACGCAGCCTGTCCAACTTCAATTGGTGACCTCGGAGACTAGGCAGCTGGGTGGGGCTAAATAGCCAGGGCAAGCCTGGACCGATCTTACTCGCTAGTGTACGATAAGTGTGGATCAGGTCTCCCCTAATTCTCCGGTAGTGCATTGAGTACATACCCAAGCTGAGGAAACGTTCGGGATACGTTTGCCCTCGGAAACCATGCATTAACTTTGTACCTGCTCGCAAAGCACCTTCCATGTTGCCCCTTACAAGATCTGGTGAACAAGCCTGGATACGTTATTCTAAGTGGGGTCGTACGCAATCTGGGAACAGCTTCACAAAAATGTCGGTTGTTAGGACACGGAAGGAGCGGCGAATAAGCCACATCATACGACACCCTCTTCAAGCAGCCTTCTTCCAATTGTCCCCAGAGTGAAGCACTGAAGTGTGGACGATGCCTAGATCAACCTGCTGAATGACAACAGGGATTTCACTTCCACCAACTACAGCGGGGAAGGAACTAGCATCTCCAATGCGGAAGACAGAATATTTTGCCTGATTTATAGGCATTAACCATAAAATTGACCAATCCCAGAGTCTATCCTAGGCAATTTGAATTACCTCAGAGCCCTCAGGGATATCCACAATATTGCAAAGCTTGAGGTAATTAACAAGCAGTAGCGACGGTACTTCACTTCCTGGGGTGGGACGTTGACATAGATTGCAATTATCAACGGCCGTAAAACCGACCCCTGTGGAACACCACTAAGAACAGCTTCTTTAAGCAAAAGGCTACCCCCGTGCTTACACACGGTTCTCTCCTCGCTAGAAAAGCAGGCGCTCATTTGTGGGCACCTGCAAATATCCCATACGATCTCAAGTTTAGTGATACTGATGTGGGACAATATCAACTGTTTTCGATTAGTCAACGAGAAGAAGGTCGATAGCGTGACTGTTGACTATGGCCTCTGCCCAGTTTTCGCGATCAACAAGTAAATACATCAGACACAAAAATCCCTTACGGAAACCGTTCTGTACATCACTGTTAAGGTTAAACTTATTCAGGTGATTCTCCACCGAATCCCTGACCAGTTTTTTCAAACAATTTAACTATTACACTTGTCAATCTGACAGGCCGATAGTTCGCGGGCGGAACACCGTCACCGCCCTTAAAAATCGGACAGTTGATTTCCTTCTTCCATTCCGAAGGCACAACTATCGAGCGTTCTTGTAAACACGCAGGCGAGAGGCCATTTAGCTAAGCGGCGAATTCATGCATCAGCTTCGGATGCATTGAATCAGGACCAGAACTCAGGATGGATTTATTCTTTCCAGTAGCCCGAAGACTTGCGGTTCCGTTATGCTAAGTTCAGTTAGGTAAAAATCCTCCTGGAAACTTGTGACCAGCTCAACCTGAGGTAGAGGGGTCACACGAGAAAAAGACACCAGTATACTGTTCGCTAAGTATACAAACTTTATCATAGTCGGTATTCACACGTGTCCTGTCCGCTCGTAGTAACACTGGTATAGACTAGTTTGTACCGTTGCACCCCCTTCCATAAGCAAAGAACTTCTTTGGATTTGTTGCGGCTGCGTCAGCTAAATCCTTCTCGTACTGAAGACGAGCAGTCCTAAGTTATTGCTCACATTTATTTTTAAACGCTGGATGAATTTCGTAGGTGCTGGTTAATGAAGCCGCTTGGTAAGTTCACCGACACTTAGAGCGCTTCCTGAGCAAATATTTGCCTGTATGATTTATCCAAGAATGCTGCGCCCGTGTCTCCTATTTTCTAATGTGTAGGATGTGGGGAGCAGCAATCTCGGTGAACTATGCCTCAAATTTCTCCCAGGTTGTCTCACCAATATCAGCAACGGTGATCTCACAACGCAGAACTGAAGCTTATTCTCGCTTTGTCTCAAAGTCTGCCCACAAGATATTTGGACAAGCCTCAACGGTGGCCTGATGACACTTAGTGAGAGCACATTGAAAGGATATGCAGACACGGTCGCCGGCTTCTAGAGGAGAGCCGTAGGTAATGTGACGTACGAAATCGTGTGACTTCGCAAAAATAAGCTCCAAGCTAGACGGAAGCTGATTGCTCATGTATCTAGTCGGGAGTTCCAGGAACTGATGCGAAGGCAGTTGCAACCTTAACTTGAGAAGATAAGAACCGAAGGTGTCCACCACCGAACTGGAAGATAGATCATCCCAACAGACCTCAGGGAGATTGAACTCCCCCAGTAGTAGACACCTATTCTCAGCCTGAGCAGGAATAAACACAATAACCGCTTTGAAAATAACTCCGTGAATTCGATATACCACAACAGCTGTAAGCTGGGTGGACGAAAAACACACAACAGTCGACAGAGCTTCAACAGTTTGATCTGGCGACTGGAAAACACAGATAATCAACACATCCAGTTTACAGCTCATATAATGAGCAACACCCTCCCCCACCTTAAGGGCCAACATAGCGATCACATCTAAGCCGTGTGTATCCGGGCAAACCTACTCCACGATTTCTCCTGAGGCGATGAATTCTCGATTGGATCCGACAATGTTTCAAGAAGTAGAATGCATCACTACTTAGTTGAGGACACTGACACTGAAATTTTAGTAACCGCATTGGGAAATATTGCACACATTTCAAATTATGGATCTGTTACTCACCGGGACGCCGATTAATCAGTGACGCTGCACAGTCAAATACTCTGTAGCAGATGTCCAGAATGTCAAGCACTTCTTGTCGACGATGCGTTCGATGCTGTGAAGAAAGAGGAAGAATGATGAGCGTCGTCTCCATGTGCCCTACTCAGGAGGCAAAATTGGCCACATTGCGAATTCACATGTATAAATAAGCAAAACTCACGTCAATTCCAGCCATCTCTACTGCCAGTTGATGTAATTGAGCTATTCTGTTTGCAATGGTCGATCGCCTTTGGCGTTCCAAGTTCCTCTTTCTCAGCTGAAATGTTGCAGTTTATAAGTGAGAGTGACTCGCCATAAACAGTAGTATATTTTGTAAGCCAGAAGATAAACACATGAAGCATGTGAAATTTCTAATCAAGCTCACTATGCATAGAAGATGCGCTTCAAAGCAGGGTCAGTTGACAACAATTAACACCCTTGTTAGTAGTGCTCATTTCAATGGACAACAAATAATAATTAAACATGAGTGGGAAATTGTCGGTTTCATAAGTACCGAAAACTATAGAGGATGGCATCATCAATATGAGTGTTGAAAATTTAGATGTGTACTGATGAAAGTTAAAGCTATGCTAACAATATGGAAGGTGGGGTAGCGTATTGTATACTGAGGACTGATAAGGGGTTAAATTTAGGTAAACCGTGTCGAATACCTGGCGAGATGAACTTGATGAATTGCATTGGCAACATCCTCATTTAAATGAGGCATCCTTCCTAGCGACATCCATATATAGCGAGCTTGTAGTCGTAGACAGCGCCCACTGAAATATTCGTTTCCTTAACCACTGCTGGTAAATGAAGTTGTGCAGACCTTCAACGATGTGGTTTCTAGGACAGCGCGGTCGCGATTTTATGGACGTTGGAAATGGTGGATAGTACAATCGGCGAGAAAGCACTTAAACATTTTACATCATGGAAAATATTGATGGGCAAGATCTCAAGTGCACACCACAACAGACCGACGTGTTGCCTGCTCGATTCCAAAGCTTCCCCAGTTGACGTCCTACGGTACCAATGAAACGGAGTCAAGACACTGTGAACTGGTGGTCTGTAGGTGGTATACCTCAATCCTATCAAACGCGTATATGGAAGGCGTATCTATGCAAGCCAAGCTTATGCAGGTCTAATGGCTGAGGACATCGAACGTACCAATTCGAAGTGACGTCAAGAGCGGGCTGAAGTCCTTCGCGGCTGCCGTGTTACTGAAGTGTCC